CTTTGGTTAAAAGAAGATTCTGCGGGAAATAGATTCGTTAAAAAACCTAAAACGCATATTTCAGAACTTTTTATGCAGGAAAATTTTTATATTCTTTACAGTTTTTATGGTGGGAGTGTCCCTCCGTTCATATGAAAGAAAGAAATGTCCTTTAGCAAATGTCAGGGACATCAGCATCTAAAGCATCTAAAATTGTAATTTTTGGGTGTGAAACACATTTGCCACTACTTTGGGAAGTTGCCAGTTTCTAAAAAGTAGTTACAGACTCAAATTTGCTTTTTTTCTCTGGGGCGGCAAAACATTATCAATTACCCATTCAAAAAAGAAGCTAGAGGAATTGTGTAACGGCTAAAAAATGTTAGTTTTAGAGTTTCATGCTGTCTTTTTACGTGTCGAAACACATTGTTCTTATTTATGGATTTTAGACTTCATGATCCTAAATTTCGGGAGGAAGTCACTGAGAAGTATCTCAAAGACCGGTCGGAGTATAGAAGGACAGGGTTGACAGAGAAGGAACGAAAAATAGCAGCAATACTGAAGCGGAAGGCTGAGCATGAGGCAACGTGATCTTATAATTAGTTTTGTGATAATAGGTTTGTAATGTAATAAATGGTAAATTCTGTATATCTTCTTTCGTGTGTCGCTGTTGAGGCCAGCTCGAAATTGGGCCAGTTTTATATTGATGGAAAATTTTTTTATAATTTATGTGATGCGGAAGTGTGAGAAGAATGATATTTTCCAAGTACGGGGATCGTGCATATTGTTTAAAACAATTTGCAAGTGCTAGTGGTTAGTATCAGAAATTTCAGGTTGGAATAATGTCTTTCTCGTAGAGAAAACAGAACTACGGAGTTGGTAGGAAATACTTCTACGCGATGTTAGTTAGAAGTATTTTTAGGTTAGGAATGGAATCCAGCAGTGTAAGGTGTGAACTATGCAGTGTGGATTTACCGTCAGCAGCGTCAGTCCCTTTGCATAATGAAGGAAAGAAACATCAGAAAAAGCTTGCGAGAAGGGATGCGCTAGAGTTGTTGGCTAAGCGCTCGGTATATGTCTGTGGTGTGCCGCGGAACACTTTCTCTTCATCTGAGGAGGTGACGTAACTGGCGAATTACTTGTTACATAGAACGGTCTTTTTAGAAAAGAGCGCCGAGAATTGGTACAGCTGTGAAACGGTTGTTTACAGACTGTCTGATATCTGTTAAGTAATTCTCTAATTAGAATAGCAGTGCAGAGCGTGTGGTGCTTTATGTTTTTTATTTGAACCAAATTCTCTTAGTGTGTAAAGTTTAGTTTATCGGCTTTTTTTAGAAATCAACAGTTTTACAGGTGGAAAAGGCTTTTTTAAAGTACGGAGAAGTTGATAAAGTGCATATTGATATTTCAAAAGGCACTTATGCTATAGTTGAATTTATGGACGAGAAATCAGCTGAATTTGCGCTACGTGAAGGATCCATCTCCGTTGGAAAGGTTTGGGATGATTTTTCTTTGAAGCCATTCTTTGTTAAAGAATGTTTCATCGGTAGAAGTTTTTTAAGCACATGGCTACTGTAAAGAGAAGGAAAACAAATTTTGATAACGACCATGATAAGTACGAGAAAGAATCCATTGATGTTGATATCTTGATTGACGGACTCATGAAAAATGGTGGCACATTCGTCGAACAAGTTGGCTATGTATCCCAGTCTTTTTGCTTAAGCTCTGGTCAGGTAATTTATTGAGAAAAACTGTTACTTTTTCTTTTCGATCTTTTTTTTTCTAGATGCATTTGTAAGAAGTGTTGCAATTTTGACCACAAAAATTGCAATTTTTATTTTATTTATTATCAGCGGAATTGATATAATTCTTTGCGTTTGCTTTTTTAGATTGATGAACGAATTGAATGTGGAAAGGAGATTACCACAGCTTTGAGAAACTATTTTACTTCGGAAGTTCACGTTTGTGTATTTGGTTCTTCTGTAACATCTCTTGGTACCGTGGATTCTGACATAGTGCGTCAATGTGGTTACAGTACTTTGAACTTAATAGATATCTCACGTGTAAACTTCCCAGATTTTAGGATGCGACTGTGCTATTTGGTGAGAAACCACTAGAAGATACAGTTGTCTTTTCTGAGTTCAATCGTAATAAATATACCTTAATGACGTGCCCTGTTGGCTCCTTCAAAATGCGTAAGATCCAACCAGCAGAACTCTGTCGCCTCACCCCTGCCGGTTAGCAGTTTTTGTTGCGTCCCCTCTCGCCAGGACCTTCTCATCATTTTTTCGATGGATGATTTTTAAGTTGTATTTTTCAGAGCACAATTCAGCAAGTCTTAATTTTCATGATCTTTACAACTTTTCTATTTCTCCTCTTCGCCTGTTTTTCTTTAATACTTTTTTCAGCTATATCTCGGTTTTTTAGACCGTATTCGACTTATGGGAAGGATTCTGAATGACATTAGGCGTCATAATATGGCTCCAATCGCTGAACTATTTTTAGTGCTCGATGCTCGCTGTCCCTTACTGCGATTTCTCTACAAACGGTATCTGCTTGCTTTTAACACCTAAAACAACTTACTAAATTATTCACTAGAAATTATGTGATGCACTACTCTACGATTTTTTGCTACAGGAGACGGTCAGGTAACCCAAGTGACAAATTAATAAGAACTAAGAAAAGATTAGAATCTGTTATGTGCAGTTGTTCTTTGTTAGTGAAAACACTATTTTTGAAGTTTTCGAATATTTATTTGAAAATTTACTTTTTTTTATTGCCTCTTGGGGCATTATTATCTTTCTTTATAGTCGTTTCTATGCTTTGTTACATTTTGGAATTTTTATTTTAGGTCCTGCACTGTCGATCTCAGTGTCGATAACAGGCTTGGAATTGCGAAAACTACATGGGTGGCTGAAACCGTAAAGTCGGATTCGTCTTCATCCATACGCTGTTTTATGGTTGCAGTAAGATTCTGGGCGTTGTGCCATGGTTTAATGCGGAAGAACAATGAAACGGTTTAAAATAATTATTTCAATGATGAAATGTATAGTGTTGTTTTTTTTTTTTTGTTATTGCCTGTATGAGCCCAATCCTTGCCAATGGGGGGTTTACGTCTTGTCCTAAATTTACTTAACTTTATTTTTAGCGCAGTCATCTTAATGCTTATATATTAAATTTGCTGTGTATATGTTTCCTGCAGTCGAAACAGTTGATTCCTCCTCTTCAACGAAGATCTGCTCCGGTCCGTGTTGGTAAATGGGATGTGGATTTTGAATTGAAGCCACTTAATTTAAAAGACGTTCAGGTGAATATGTTAGTGAAAGTAAGTCTTTATCAAAATTTTTTATTTACTTTAAAATTCTAACTTTCTGTGGAAACCTTGGTGAATTTAATTTTATAGGAGTTTTTTGGTTGGTTTGTACTTATGAAAATAAAGGATCATGTTTTGTGTCCGAGGCTTGGATCTCTTTTAACTGTAGAAGAATTTAAAGAAGCTTTTCCTAAACTCGAGAAAGAGGGCTTTAAATTTGCCACGTTAAATATTCAGGTTCCTTATCATGTTAGAAATTAACTTAGCATCAGAACAAAATTTTTGATTGCTGTAATCCGTAGTTAACTTCTGAAGAATTGCAATTTTTTACCAAGTTTTTTCTATGAACAGGATTTTTTAGTAGAGCATATGTTCATACAACTTCATACAATTTTTTTCTTTCAGGATCCTATTGAACTAGTGCACAATATATCACAACTCTTAACGGAAAGGAGCATTGCAATTTTACGTAAAACCATGGTCGTTTCTATAGCCTCCTTAAAAAGAAATCCGGACTGTTTTACGTCTGTACTTCGTCTTGAACAGAACACTGAGTCTGGCCTTTCCGGCATGTTATCATTTGCTAAAGAAGTTGTAGCTATCATAAAGAAACGTATTCCTGGATAAGATTATTTTTCACTTCAAATTAGCTTTATTTTACTTATATTCGAGTTCTTCATTATGAAGTTTTGTCTTTAAAAGGTTAAGTTCAAACCAACTTTAAATATCGAACTTTTCAGTGAAATGATTTTGTAACTTTTTTACTTTAGATTATAAAATTGTTTTACCTTCAAATCATACTACTGTTAGCGAGTGCGCCAGAGAAGTTACGCGTATCTTGACAGAACTTTTATATTTTCAACCGTTTGCTGAACCTCAAGTAAAACGAGTTCGCCTGAATGATGTAGACATTGAAATGGTTGATTTTCAAGTTAATTTTCGTGTTTGGTTGGGAAGGCGGAGTTCAAGACGTGCTGTTGCGAGGGAAAATGCAATGTTGAATGCATGGGATATAGAGAAAAGCGTAAGTTTGGTTACTCACTTATTTTTTTAACTCACTTGTTGCGAAATTGATTTTTTATTTAGTTTTTTTAACTTTGCTTATGCATTATTTATTTTAATTCGAAAGTTTTGATTTCCAAAGATATTTCTCAGCGTTGTACTTTTTCGAAAGGGTGCATTTAGGTCACCGAGGCGATAAGGATGAAAAATAACGTGCCAGATATAAAACTTGGTTTGCGTTTGACTTTTCGGAAAGAAAATGATTCTGTGATTCTTGATTTTGAACACCTATCTGGAGCGGAGGTTGATTTACGTAATGCCATTCACTTCTTGTCACAATTTTTACCAAAGTTTTACTGCAGACATGACAACCAGGACGTCACTACTTCAATGGAGTTTTAAAACTCTATTTTTAAAGTGATCTCATTTTCCGCTAAAAATATGATTATTCAGGCACTTTTTTGAATTGTACAAGTTATGGTTTATAAACGTGAAATTTGTTGAACAGTACCTGTTTTTTTTTTTTTTGCATTAGTTACTTTGTTTTTGTGTTGGTTACTAGCTGTCGTTATAAACTGAATTGATTTGTTTCTCCAGATATTGCTTTTCACTTAAAAATAACTTCCACTTGATACTTTTCTTACAGAAGAGTTGACTTCGCAGAAACAATTTTCGGAATTGCAATTGATAAAAATAGCTTGTTGTCTTGGTGTTCTGACAGTACGTATTTTTCGATATCTCACTTACGTTACAGAATTATTTATTGATCAGGTAGAGTGGTCTTTTTCCGCCAAGAATTTGCTTTTAAAGTTATTTCAGGTAGTCGGAACTAGCTTTTGTTCTCGATGGGCATAGATGGAGACAATGATGGAAAGTCAGTTCGTGAGAAAATGACATTGACAGTCAATGAAATTGTTGCACACCTGATTAGTGCTCACAACTCCAACCGGGATGTAGATCTGAACAAGCTAAAGTGCGTTATCTCTCGAAAATATGGTTTGAGCAATCAGCCGAAACTAGTGGACATAATATTGGCTGTGCCACCAGATTATAAGGTTGTTCAGAAACATTTGGTTTTTTGGAAGAAATTTTGGGTTACTTACTGTTCTAAGTTTCGATTACTTAGTGCACAGTTGTTTTTAGAAAGCCTTGCTACCAAAATTGAAAGCTAAACCGGTTCGAACAGCTAGTGGAATTGCTGTAGTGGCTGTTATGTGTAAACCTCACAGATGTCCGCACATCAATTTTACAGGTAGGATTTTTAGGATTTCCATTTAAATGTGTAATAATATGCATTACTCAAATGTGTAATAATATGCAGAAGAGCGATGTACCCTCTTGTGTTCCGAACTGGTTCATAAGGAACAATATCTTACATTTTTCGACGCCATTTATACTACAAGTGAAATCGCACATTTTTTGCGGCTACTATTTAAATTCACTTCTGGCTTTGATAAATAGTAGAATCTGACACAGTATCAGTAAAATAGTTTTACTTTGAAAAAGCATTTACTTACCAATCCACAAGCCTCCCGGCGCGAAAGAAGTTTTAAACTTTCGTTTCAGTGATTTTTTATTTAAGCAACGTTTTGCAAAGCAAAGCAAGCTCAGTTTCATATGAAGGCACGTCTTCTTTGTGTTCAGAATTGTGGATATTTTATGATTTTTTGCTTGACAGAAAAACCACTTTAGGATAAACCCTTTTGTTTCCCTAGCTTTAGGCTAAATTCCCTTATGTGCTAAAGTTAAAAATAAAATTTTAAGAGTGTAGCTGAAAAATACGTGCAAGTTAACGTGTAATGAACTGGGTTTTTCATAATTTTGGTTGAGAGTTCTTGTCAGATTAGTGTTTTAGGTAATATTTGTGTATATTGTCCTGGTGGACCAGATTCTGATTTTGAATACAGTACCCAATCGTATACTGGTTATGAACCAACTTCAATGAGAGCGATTCGAGCTCATTATAATCCATACTTGCAAACTAGATGTAGAATTATGCAACTTCGGGAGTTGGGTCATTCTGTGGACAAGGTCTGTTTTTAGTTCTCATTATTGAGGTTATTTATGTCCTGTGGATAGGTTTAAACAATTTCTGCTGAAAAATTAGTTATTATGCAGAAGGTTTTTCTCTTGAAACTGTATTTCTTACAAATAAGACTTAATGAAGATTGTTTTAACTAATAGGTCATAACACAGTTTGTATTGAGGTGGAATTTATTGTTATGGGAGGTACATTCATGTCTCTTCCGGATGACTATCGCGATTATTTCATTAGGAATTTACATGATGCGTTGAGCGGACATCGCAGTTCTTCAGTTGCGGAAGTAATTGTTCAAATGAAAGAAAAGTTTTCATTATTTTTCTTATTTCAAAAGAATTTGATAAGTTTAAAAAAATCTGTTCCATTTTTTAACACTATTTTCTTTAAAAAATGTGTTATTTTTTACTTTTTCTAAAACCTTTTTTTAAACTAAATAATCAAATAGCACAGACCGTCAAGGTAAATTGTCTGACTTTGAGTAATAAAAATTAAGTGCTTTAAATACATGAACATTGAAGATTTAGCTTTACGTAGTTTTAAATGGTAACTTCTACGTTATTTCGTTTAATGCATTATTTCAGGCAGTAGCTTTTAGCGAAAGAAGTCATATTAAATGCATTGGAATAACGATTGAAACGCGACCAGATTATTGCCTTCCCCGTCATCTTGACGACATGCTTTCTTATGGTTGCACTAGGCTAGAGATTGGTGTTCAGTCGACCTACGAAGATGTTGCTACAGATACAAATAGAGGGCATACAGTAACTAAAGCTTCATTCTTTATTTAAATATGAATAATACAGCGCAAAATGAAACGTGAGAGACTTTTTAATCACTTGAGTAAATTTTTTTTCTTAGCGTTTTCTCTCTCTCATTTTTTTGCTCCTTCACTCGCCGTCCTCTCTCTTAAGTGTGTTTTTCACTGTATATTTTGTTTTATAGCAAACTAGTGTACAGTTATTGAAATTAATTTTTTTGTAGAGGAAAAGCTGTATACAAAAATCTGTAGTAACTTAAGCAATAGAATACAAAAAGCTGTAGTAACTTAAAGTTTTTTTGACTTTCTGAATATCCTGTTTTTTAGCGGATGGGTCATTCAGGAAGTCTTTTTTGAAAATATTTTGTCTTCCTGTGAATCATTGCATTGATATTGATTTTGAAAATGTTGCTTTTTGGTGTTCTGGTTTCTCTGGAGGTTTTTTTGACAAATTCTCTTTCGTAGGAGACCAGTTCTCTAATGTTTTTAATGTTTTTAATGTTCCCCTAATGTTCTACCATTTGGTCGGCAACTAGGGTACTTTCTAGCTGACCGATTGCTCGTAAAAATTGATCTCGGGATGTTAAAGTGCCATAACTTTTGACATCTTCTACATCTGTTTCTCGCTCACGCTCATTATTTCTCAACCCTTATATTTGTCTATTTCTAATAGCTCTCTGCGAAGAAAATGGCTTATTTTTAATACTTAGGAGTCTCGAAGAAACGTTGTGAGATTGGAAATAAGCTGGCACCTTCATTAGAACACAATAATTGGTATCGTAGTGAATTTTTGTATTTTATTTTTCTGCAGTAAGGGGGCAAATTCGGAAATCTTGCAAAGTCTTTCCGAATAATTGCAGTAGCTGGTACTTTGTACTCCTCAGCACTGAAGGAGAATTAGAGTACTCATTGAGCAGTCTCTATTACTTGTTTGTCTCTCCTTCCCTTTGCTTCAGCTTCTTCTAAGTTAGCCTTAGGACTGACCCTCTAACCTTCCCTCACTGCTTTGCTTTCGGCAGTGAGATGACAATCTTATTTTCCACAATTCTGTCGATCGGCCCGTTAGAAAAATGTTGGAATTGTACAGTATGGCAAGAGAAGGTGACATTTTTGAAATAATACTGAAGTTTTTTTTTTTATAAGCTCTAAAGAGAGTTATTGAGTTAATGTAGATTATCCGAAATTTTGGAAGTATATTTCTTGGAATAAAGCGGATCGTTGAAAAAATGGAATATTTAAAACGAGCAATGAGAAGAAACGAGCAATAGAATACAAAAAGCTGTAGTGACTCAAAGTTTTTCTGACATGTAAACGAAGTAATTTTTTTTGACATTCTCTTCCGCTTATTTCTAATACTGTCATTTTCTAGAGCAGCGTTCGTTAATTTGCAGAAATATACTTTGACAAAAAAAAAGTGATTTTTGTTTTCATTGTTAACACAGAATTATTGAATTTGTTTCTTAAAGTTTTGAATAAGCGTCACTAATTGCCTTCTGTTTTATGGAGGTCTGTTCACGTTGTTCTTTGGTCAAAAAAAAAAGGTACAGATGGAACTTTGCTAGAAAAATTTTTTTATACTATTAATATACGTGTGAGATTTATTTTTCTAGAAGAATTTTAGTTGTGTTTATATGGTCAACAGCGAATGAAATAAATAAAATGCCAAACATTTTCATTTATTTGGATTATTTGCTCTTTCTTTTTTCTTCTGGTGCACTTGTCAAATAATTTTTAATATTTTTTGAAATTTGAAAAGGAAGTCATTTTATAGGGCCAAAAAAAGATGTCATTTCTACTTATTTATTTAGATCAGTTTTTTGTATGTTTTTTTTTTTCAAATGGCACAAAAC